GAGGGGTTCGTTCCACATTTAAAGGCTCACATTCAAGCAGCATGTGAGATAACGTTTCAATTTCACATCTGCACATTTTGCATAGTCGTTCATTGGTTGGGGTATTTTTCCAGCGACCTATATTCACTTGAAGATTTCCTTCACCTGTCATTAACATAACCATCAGCCGAGAGTATTTGACAAGTCTGGGATATTTTCGGGCCATGATCCACCATGATATTGGTTTCACCTCGATCACTATATTTGAGTATAGGCTGAGTTTTCTATATGTTAATAGTTTAATGTGCCATTCGTTCAGATGGAACTCTTTGAGTGTTTGCGTTACAGTTCTTTTCCAAAGCATTTTACTTGGTATTCTTGCAGTTTTAATCATTTGCACTACATTTGTATATAGATTATATTTAATGCATGTTTTCATTATGTCACGTAACGGTGATTGCACATTTGTATTATTGTCACATAACGTTTTTGTCTAGTAACGCTACGTCTCAGTATTTTTTCTGAATGTGATCTAGAAATCATTTTTCACAAAATCCATCATATTTCAAACATCTTCCATTATATTATGTAATAACTACACCAGACACTCCAGTTTCCGAAATAAATGAAAGAATTCAGAGAAATTAATTTTAGTTGAAAAGTGTACGACATGAAGGGTGTGTACGAGGTGGAGGACATTCAACAACTTCATTGAAATATGTTTAAAGTGCTTTTATTGACTACCTTTACCCTCTAAGCTTAATAAACACCCATTCTCTTGGAAAATGGTTTTCCCTCTTAATAAAGCCCCATGGGCATTTATTTTGAGTTGTTTCAAATAAATGCCTTGTGCAAAATAAACGCCCAGTGCGCTTTTAGTGATTAACTCCGTTAATGCGTATTCTTCCAACGAGGAGCTTCCAAAAATTTTAAGATGTTGTAGGTTTAAATTTGACATATAAATGGAGATACGATGTACCGCATCGGTCGTTGCTGAACCTGGTAGAATTCATTATCATTGAACTGCATATACAAAAGGTGGATATGTATTATCTTGATTCTGTCTTACTATATTTGCACATAGCCATCATTTAGATTGATGGCTATGAGAATCTTGATATTCCCAGTCCTTTCTAAAAGTCTTTTGTAAAAATGTAAGAAATTTTGGAAACATTTACGCTTCTTCAATCGATGCATAACATTCTAAAGTATCATTTTCCTAACCATATCACGCGATCCGGAGTCGGGAGACAGTTTAATTGACGAAAATGTATTTGGTACTTGTTATTTTCCATGTTTTCTAGGAAGTCTCGCAAATGCGCATGCGACTTACCGGAAGTGGAAATCTCATGGCATGGAGGCGCAAGCGCATTACTCAACTTCCTGAAAAACCATCTTGAAAATTATCAACTCCAATCAGATTTTCCTCAATATATTTCCTCTTCCACTCCTGATAGCCATATATGGTTAGAAAAACGATACTTTAGAATGTTATGCATCGATTGAAGTAGTGTAGGTGTTTCCAAAATTTCTTACATTTTTACAAAAGACCTTTAAAAAGAACTTGGAATATCAAGATTTCCATATGTGCAAATATAGTAAATTCCGTCCTTGAGATATTGCCAATATTAAGTTTTACAAGGAGAATATTTTACTTTGTAGCCATCGAGATCAATGAATTGTAAAACTTTGCACGCCATGACAAGAATCACCTTTAGCTCAATCAAAAATTCATTTGAGTGCCATCAGAGATTACTTATAATGTAGTCATTAATTATCTTGAAAGCCATCAAGACGTAATTATTAATGGTATTCAAAGTAGTTTTTGATAGCATTTAAAATCACTTTGTGACATTCCTCAAGAGCAGGCTTTGCTGCTATGGGTACGAAGTGAAATATCCTTAGACCATGGTGCTTTGTAATTACTTGGTTGGACAATATATTGGTATAGATGGTTATCCATCTTGACAAGAGCTAGAACGTGTCATCAAATCATAACACAAAATCTTCCCCAAAAGTCATAATTATTAAAGGATTTAAGTCCTGGACTAACACTTAAAAGATATGAAATATATTTTCAAGGAAACATTTGCAAGGGTCAAGTTGTAAGTTCTTTTTTTGTATCAGTTGGCATCATGAATTGTCACCTTGACAACCATACAACACTTCATTAGACCTGAATAAGCACGTAGCTTGTTATTACAAATAACAAATACTTGTATAGGATGGTTCAATGGTTTATTTCTTTAGTTCTCTTGCCCATGGATACTTTTCAGCCATGGCTTGCTAAACCCCATGACACAACTTGAAGAAAACATATTCATATTTTCATAAATTTATATAGCAAATCCATGTAAATCTTATGAAATATGTGTTTTGGAACTTAGAGGAATATTCCTTGCCAAACCATCTCTCTCCTCATATGGTAGCTATAACCATATATATGCTTGCCATGTTTAGCAAAACACGCAAAAATGTTTTGATATGGTCAAATTTGATCACTTAGAAATGTGATGCTCAATTCCAGTAAGCTACCATCTTTTAAAATTTCACACAGGAAGTGATGTCATCGACTCTCAACTTTGCATATAGCATTAGGTGAGGAGCTATTAAAAATTACTAAACCAGCTAAATATTCTCCTTCAACTTTGTATCTTATTTAATCCTTCTGAAAATCTCTTCTTTTATTCTAAGTTGACAAGCCCTGAAAATATTTTTGCACAGAAAGTAATGATCATTTGTCTAGAAGTGATTTTGTCCTACTTTCCTATACTGTTATGGGCAAGGTTATAGAAGTTGAGAGTTGATGACATCACTTCCTGCAAGAAATCTTAAAAGATGGCAGCTCACTGGAAATAAGCACTAGATTTTTAAATGATCATTATTGACCATATTAAAACATTTTCCCATGTTTTGCTAAATATGGAAACTATATATATGATTATAGCTACCATATCAAGAGAGAAAGGGTCTGGCAAAGAATATTCCTTTAAGAACAAGGACATATGAGCAACAATATCATGGTGCACTTTGTACACACCCTTCACGTCGTACACTTTCCAACTTAAATTAATTCCTCCGAATTCTTCCATTTATTTGAAAACTGAAGTGTCTGGATGATGTATAATGATTTTATTAATAATTGAACATGACGATATAACTCAATATGTCGGAAATATGATGGATTTTGTGAAAAATGACAATATTTTCAAGAAGATGTTGTGCTTTTTAGAAGGTTTGAGAAGTTCTAGATCGTGTTCAGAAAAAATGTTGAGACATAGCAATACTAAAGGGATCTCTGCGTAGCATGGGCGATGTTTCTATGAGGAAGAAAGGCTCATATTCTGTCAAAACGTTGAAATAAATGAGTACGTTCTTACAAATTTGACTCCAAAAGCACGTCATCCACTTCTGTTAGTACGACGTGTTGAGAATGGGGCGTGATTCTTCAAAACAAATTTTTACATTTTTTATTGTTGATATTTATTTTTTGACAGCTGTTCTTGACAACAATACATGGTTTCAACCACCCCTGGGCATGATAGGAAAATGGGAAGTTGGGCAATATATACTGATATATCCATTAAATACTTAGTTTTAGTCTTATACCAAAACAGAGCTGGTTGTTTTTATAGAAGGAAAACCGTGTGACAGGGACAAGTATGTAAACCGAGGATAGGAGGCATCACTTTTGACACAAAATACTGGTACAAAAATGGAAAGAGAAAATGGAAAGGTCCGTATCCTTGCTGGAGTCCATTGCTGTATATAAATAAAATATAAAACACTGCAATAAAGTTTAAATGATTTCTGGTATGCTTCAATTGCTACTAATTTTTTTATCTTATTTGTGAAGTATAGTACCTGTAGAGTTTCAAGCAAATTGATTGAATACTTTTGGAATTATGAATCTGTAGCTAGAATAGCAGAAACATGTACATTGTTAGGCAATAATTTACATCAACCCATAACATACATTCTAACCTATTTTGTTGTAATGAAAATATTAATTTATGAAAATAGATAGAAAATAAGCAAGAAATTAACACATTAGCGCAGAGAAAGCATTCAGAGAAAAAGCATTTTAAAATTTTACTTCTCATTGAATCCAATGGTACATTAATATTCAAAACATGATAAAAATTTTTGAAATATTGGTTTATTTTGAAAGTTAAGCATATTTAGAAAATATCTGTACAAGAAATAAAGATATCCTCAAAGTATCCTCATGACATTCCATGAATGGTTGAAATAATCAACTTTTGCCTGATCTATCCAGTGGAGTGGCACAAACAATGTGTTTAAACAGTGTTATGTTTTGTATTTGATGATCTAAAAATCTAAATTTTTGTTTCTAAAATGTCGGGAATTGGCTGATAGTTTTTCAAGTCATGAAAATTAAAATTTGAATGATTAGCCTAAACTGAATGGGGCCTTCAAAATTTTGCCCATATTTTAAAAAGTTGATTTAATGGATGGACAGATTGATGGATGGATGGATGGATGGACGAATGGATGGATGGATGGTGGCTAATATAACAACTTGTAAATATTTTACACTTGCCCCATTTTTCTTCCACTAATTGGCCCAAATTTTGAATCTGCCTCTCTCCAATAAACCCCCAAAAATCAATCAGTCCCACAAATATTCTGGTTTTACTTTTACTGTTATAGTAACGAATTAATTGGAGATTTATCACATTAACACATTTATCATAAGTGACTGTTTTTAGTTTGTCATATTAAAAGGACTATCAAGAGATGGCAAAGAATTCAGAGGTTTTAATTATATACTTAATAATTAAAAATGCTTCAAAAATCTCACAAGATTCAATGAAAATATACAGAACCTTATGATATTGAAACTATATATTGAAAAATAAAATGCGATATCAATTTGATTAATGTACAAGTATATTTTTGAAGTTTTAATACAGAAATATTTTCACACAAAACAATGGGTCGGGTGTGAAAAACAACCCACAAGAACTGCCATCTATATGAGTCCTTCTATAACTTACTTGTTTTTCAGGCCCAAGGGCAGGTGAGTCTGTCTCTAACAACAAATGGGTCAATGGTACTTTATCCACCAGTTTAGATTTCTGCAAGAATGAGATAAATTACTTATATTTAACATATATTTTATAATATATTTCATAAAGCTGGTGTTTATTCTTGGGATTACTAAAATTTGAGAGAAATTAACTCACAGAAAGTGCAGAAAAATGGTTCAGAAAAATGCATTTTAAAAAGTCAAATCATTCAAATTAAATGGTACAGGAATATTTAAGACAGGATAACCATTGCATATCCCTTCAACTTCAATATGCCTGTGTACCACCAATGCTTTATTTTGAAAGTTAACATATTCAAAAATATCTATTAAAGAAGAAATTAAATGATCGAAATATTGTCACATTTACTTGATCTACCTATCTATGGACTGTAGAAAATAATGTGAATTAATACATTATTACTGTAGAGTGTTGCATTTGATGATCCAAAAATCTAAATGTTTGCTGCTAAATAGGCAGGAAAATCAAAATTAAAACTTATTTCAAAAATGTCTCAAACAATAATATTTCAAAGATTTAACAATATTCCAAACTTTGCATGGGGCCTTTAAAAGATATGGAAACAGCTGTTCAGAGGGTCAATGGTTTTGATCTAACCTGTTCATCCCTGTGTATTGCATAAGGCGGAATAGAGAACTGGTAACCAATAGCAACACCCTCTAGAGCAACAGATGCCTTTCCACCAAAATTATGGAGAACTGCTGCCCTGACACCTATTGATAAGAGAACTTTATTTCAATAACTCTGTCACTATGACGATGTACCTGTTCACTCCTGACTATAGATGGCGGTACAGAGAAATAGTATCCAGCTTGAACCCCATCCATGGCAATAGCTGCACGGCCATCGAATGCATGCAATAGCGCCCTCTTTACACCTATAAAGATGTAAACATGAGATGACCTAAACAGACATTCAGTATATGAGCTCTATGTAATATTTAGCATTGATTTAAGTCTCTGGATCCTCCCTTATCTACTTTACCACCATAGTCTTGTCTGCACTGGCTTGTGGGTAGGTGTAATGAGGGGGGGGACAAGGGCTTTTAGCTAGACTACATGATAATAAATCAGGAAATTAGGGTCTCGAGAATCACAATCACTAAAATTAAACTAAGATAGTATACATGTATAGTATACTGGTATATACAGGGTGTTAAAAAAACGCAACCCAAAGAAATCACTGTATCTTGAAAAATACTGGTTCAATAATGTTCATTTCAGGAAACAAAGAAGAGACTGTGTATGTATAGCTCCTGTAAATGGTTAGTTGTAAAACATGATGCCTTGGACACATGCTCAAAAGACAGTTGTACTAGGAAAATACGAAAAACACAGTCAGGGGTGACTGCAACAGGAAACAAGGCACAGACGTGAACAATATCGTACCTAAAACACAGCAGTGTGACAGTGAAGAATTTAGGACGGAAAACCCAAAATGGCTACCTTAAAATTTACCCAGAATGCCCAAAAACTAATCAGTTCTTAACTTTGATACGTAGAAACATCCCTGAAAATTTCAGATGAATCCGTCAAATGGTTTGGCTGGAAACCTGTAGACAAGTCTTGAAAGTGAAGATTTTAGGACGGAAAATCCAAAATTGCCACCTTAAAATTTACCCAGAATGCCCAAAAACTAATCAGTTGTTAACTTTGATATGTAGAAACATCCCTGTAAATTTCAAATGAATCCGTCAAATGGTTTGGCTGGAAACCTGTAGACAAGTCTTGAAAGTGAAGATTTTAGGACGGAAAATCCAAAATGGCCACCTTAAATTTTACCCAGAATGCCAAAAAACTAATCAGTTCTTAACTTTGATACGTAGAAACATCCCTGAAAATTTCAGATGAATCCGTCAAATGGTTTGGCTTGAAACCTGTAGACAAGTCTTGAAAGTGAAGATTTTAGGACGGAAAATCCAAAATGGCCACCTTAAAATTTACCTAGAATGCCCAAAAACTAATCAGTTCTTAACTTTTATCGTAGAAACATTCCTGAAAATTTCAGATGAATCCGTCAAATGGATTGGCTGGAAACCTGTAGACAAGTCTTGAAAGTGAAGATTTTAGGACGGAAAATCCAAATTGGCCACCTAAAAATTTACCCAGAATGCCCAAAAACTAATCAGTTCTTAACTTTGATACATAGAAACATTCCTGAAAATTTCAGATGAATCTGTCAAATGGTTTGGCTGGAAACCTGTAGACAAGCTGAAAAGTGAGACGCCGCCCGCCCGTCAAGCTGACGACAATATCGTACCTTTATTAGGTATGATAAAAACGAAATAACTTTCTAACCATAGTGTTTTGGCTCTTAAAATTTGGCACAAATCATCTTCATTCACTGTATGGTAAATCTGTAGAGAGAAATCAAAATCACTTCAGGGACTTTACAGTCATGGTCAAAATGCTTTCAAATCGCAGTCAAACACCCTGGTTCAGGGAGACTTAAGAAGGCATTTTGACCATGACTGTAAAGTCCCTGGAGTGATTTTGATGAAACTCCACAAATTCACCACACATTGAATAAGGATAATTGTGCCAAATCTCAAGTGCCAAAACACTATGGTTAGAAAGTTATTTGGTTTTATTGCTGTGGCAGTCACCTCTGACAGCGTTTTCACATTTTCCTAGTACAACTGTCATTTGAGCTGGTGTCCAAGGCATCATGTTTTACAACTAACTGACAGCAGGAGCTATACATAAACAGTCTCTTGTTTCCTTTCCTGAAAAATGAACATAATTGAATCAGTATTTTCCAAGATATAGTGATTTTCCATTCACGTTTTTCGTATTTTGCTGTCACCTGTCTTTTGAGCAAGTGTCCAAGGCATCATGTTTTACAACTAACTAACAACAGGGGCTATACATACACATTCTCGTCTTTCCTTCCTGAAAATATGAACATAATTGGATTAGTATTTTCCAAGATATAGCAATTTCTTTGGGTTGCGTTTTTTTTAACACCCTGTATTTATATACATGTACATACATACTTCCCCCTCTTTCATGTACTGACAAAATAACAATGAAATTAAAAGTAAATGACAAACAAATCCTTATAAGGAGAGACGTGGGCTTTCAACAGATCCAATATTTTCAATCTATTTTCAATCATAAATTTCCTTCTGATTATGTATTATTACCACAGTTTTAGTGCTAGTCTAGAAGGCGTTCATTTTACTATATCAACCTAAGCAATATGTGACGTCATAGTGGTGGTCAAGAATGCATTTCAGACCGGTCGAGAATGCATTTAACGACTGGCAATTTTCCCCAGGAAACTAGATATCGTTCAGTGCGTAAGATTTTCTTGCTGTTTCAGTCCTGGTCGTTAATGGTGGTAATAATACTAATAACATCATTTCGGCCCTCGGTCCAATATTTCACTATATTGCCCTTCGAAATGACCTTATTGTACTATTATGGGATGGAACATGTACTCATGGGCTTTCAACATATCTCTTGAAAGTCCAAGATGTACTGTATTATTCCCACTAATGGACAATGTGTCTAATCTCGAACCAATATGCAACATTTGGTAATTTTAACCTCTTATTATACTATGAAATAGCACACTTGAACATTTCTAAACCACAATAAGTAAGTCAAAGTGTCAATCATATAATTACATTCTTGACAATAGAGAAAGAAACTTCAGATCACAAAATATTCAAGACCTCAAACTTCATATTTTCTTAACAGATGGGTACATTATATAAAATCCCAATGGGATATATGTAATGGAAAAGACACAAACCTTCTTCTTTTAGCAGAGCTATAGTTGGTCTTCCAGCTGATCTTGAGTGAACATTACTAGAAAAAACAAAATAAATGCATTATAGCACAAATGGTTGCACACCAATACATAAACTTCCCAAATCACTATTTAAACATGGAGTTTCTCCAGAGATATATTCTACAGAGTGAATACTAGTAATGACACAAAGAAGATCAAATCATTTGATCGGAAAAGAGAAAAGGGAGCATTTCCCAAGAACAAAATGAAAGATGACTTACATGGGAAGATCATATTTCTGTGCAAGTTTAATTTGTCTCCTCAGCACCTCTCTTTGGGCCTCTTTGTCAGAGTCCTGCTTGACAAACCTAGGGGTAAAGTCAAGACCAACCTAAAAGTCAGAAATCAGTTTAAATTCAACAAATATTCTAAATAGTGAATCATGTATATTTATCCACGATCTAAATCCAACATGCTGTTGTACAGTTGAACTACATTAGTAAATGTTTGATTCTACTGAAATGTGTAGTTTTCACATATCCAGAGTATTACACAGTTTATATTTCAATTTAGATCACCAAGTCAATTTGAGCTGTTCTGTATGGAGTAAGCTGATTTAGAAAAAAATATTGTATTGAAAGCACAGGTTAAATATTGAATTGTAGATGATTTCTATCCATTATATTGGAGCATTGCAAAATTATGATATCAGGATACAATATACAGGATGCCCCGAAAGTATGACCCCCCCCCTTAAGCAGACATATGTCTCCATTGTATGTGTCATATATCATGGACACTAAATTTTGAAATGTAACTTTTCCCATTTGTGAGTTGAACCATGATACTTGGCAAATCAATGCAACTTTGAATAAGCTTTAAATTGATATATGACACATACTATGAAGACATTTGTATATGTCTGCCTGGGGGGTCCAATTCTTTCGGGATACCCTGTTCTATAAATGATAATTGGACTAACATATGTAAAGCAAGAAAAACATTTTCTTTTACCTCTCCGATCGCTACAAGTTTGTCTTGGTTAGCCTCTATAATTGGGAGGGCCTTTTCCAGATCCTATAAAATATTTAATAATATGGTATATACATGCATTATTTAAAGGGATCTCCAAAGCATTGACAATGAATCAATTCCATGGAATTCCATGGAAAAAAAGTGTATTTCATTTTAAAATTAACTGCAATTGGATTTTAGGTACATCCTGTATTTGACTTAAAATACAATACTTTCAAGAGGGCCAGTATAACTATACCAATTGAATTATTTATATCATACCTCTAAATTGACACTCCTTGCTTCACTTGGACTATTGTAGTCTCCTTGTACTGGATGTAGCCCAAGACATGGCATACAGAACTCTGGATAACTGGAATATAGGTACACATGTAAACTAAATAATGATTTGCTATATGGGTGTTGTGTACATTTTGAAAATATATTGTTATCAATTTAAACAATTCAAACATCTTTCACGATGGAAAAGAGCTTACTATCAAGGAGGTTATGAAAAGTGAAAACATTTTATCTAACTTCAAAAGTGCCATCTATTATTCTATATGATAGTCATTTGTAAAAGCCACTTTCTAATCAATGCCCATGGGAAAATAAATGAGGAGAAATAGAGTAATTGCTACCAATTACCTATCATACAATGAAAGAATTCTTTCAAAACAATCTTTAGTTTCAGCAACAACAACAGCACATGCTACACGACTCTACAACATAAAGTAAAATAATGCAATTATCATGGTACATGCATATAATTTATTCTATTATTTTTATTATTTCACGCTGGTATAACATTTATAAGAATGAGTGAATTGACCTAGAGATTCATAGCAGGTGGCATGAACATCGAGCAAAAATACAAAAGTTCACCACCTGTCATTTGTTAAAAAAAATGCCAGACACCAACCACCACCAAACAACATCCACAAATTAAATTTTGTATATGGTTCTCTTTGGACCAAGTATTTCGTTAAAGATGGACATTATGAATATTTTGGTAGTATTTAAGCTTCTTCAGCATTTCTAGTCTTCAAAATATGAGTAATATTGATACCAAATTGGTATAGACCGGGCAACAGAGTAACAAGTTTGAAAAAATGGCTTCCAATCCTCCTTGCATGTACTTACATCTTGAGCTTGCTTTATTACATCATGAATATCCTGCAAGTATCAAAATAAAACATTATTTTTACACTGGGCATTTGGAATGGGTTTGTATTTGTAGCATATCTGATGCATCAGTGTCACAATATAGGGTAGCGATTATTGGGTATTTTTTTTTTTTATGCTACTTTTGGACTTAAAATAAAATTTAAAATGACCAGGCATTTAAACATACAGTTCAGTCCAGCCTTTCGATAGATTTTCATACCTTTTTTCAAAACCAACACAAATGGCCAAAAGTAACACTTTTCCAGGAAATAAACAGAGTTCAGCCTATCGATAGATTTTTATACCTTTTTTCAAAACCAACACAAATGGCCAAAAGTATCACTTTTCCAGAAAATAAACAGAGTCCAGCATACGATAGATTTTCATACCTTTTTTCAAAACCAACACAAATGGCAAAAAGTAGCACTTTCCAGAAAATAAACAGAGTCAAGTCTATCGATAGATTTTTATACCTTTTTTCAAAACCAACACAAATGGCGAAAAGTAACACTTTTCAGAAAATAAACAGAGTCCAGCATAGGATAGATTTTCATACCTTTTTTCAAAACCAACACAAATGGCAAAAAGTAGCACTTTCCAGAAAATAAACAGAGTCCAGCATACGATAGATTTTCATACCTTTTTTCAAAACCAACACAAATGGCGAAAAGTAACACTTTTCAGAAAATAAACAGAGTCCAGCATAGGATAGATTTTTATACCTTTTTTCAAAACCAACACAAATGGCGAAAAGTAACACTTTTCAGAAAATAAACAGAGTCCAGCATTCGATAGATTTTCATACCTTTTTTCAAAACCAACAAATGGCAAAAAGTAACACTTTTCAGAAATGTTTCAGAAAATAAACAGAGTCCAGCATAGGATAGATTTTTATACCTTTTTTCAAAACCAACACAAATGGCGAAAAGTAACACTTTTCAGAAAATAAACAGAGTCCAGCATACGATAGATTTTCATACCTTTTTTCAAAACCAACAAAAATGGCGAAAAGTAGCACTTTTCAGAAAATAAACAGAGTCCAGCATACGATAGATTTTCATACCTTTTTGAAAACCAACACAAATGGCGAAAAGTAACACTTTTCAGAAAATAAACAGAGTCCAGCATACGATAGATTTTCATACCTTTTTTCAAAACCAACACAAATGGCGAAAAGTAACACTTTTCAGAAAATAAACAGAGTCCAGCATACGATAGATTTTCATACCTTTTTTCAAAACCAACACAAATGGCGAAAAGTAACACTTTTCAGAAAATAAACAGAGTCCAGCATACGATAGATTTTCATACCTTTTTTCAAAACCAACACAAATGGCGAAAAGTAACACTTTTCAGAAAATAAACAGAGTCCATAGGATAGATTTTCGTACCTTTTTTCAAAACCAACACAAATGGCCAAAAGTAGCACATTTCCAGAAAATAAACAGAGTCCAACATACGATAGATTTTCATACCTTTTTTCAAAAACAACACAAATGGCCAAAAGTAACACTAAACAGAGATCAGCCTATCGATAGATTTTCATACCTTTTTTCAAAACCAACACAAATTGCCAAAAGTAACACTTTTCCAGAAAATAAACAGAGTCCAGCCTTCAGTATATATCGATTTTCTTTCCTTTTTTAAAAGGCAACATAAATGGCAAAAAGTAACACTTTTCCAGAAAATAAACAAAAAGTTTTTTTTCAAATCTTGACTGAGGTTCAAACTTTTATTTTTCTCGGTAGACCGGAAGTAAAGTTATGAGTCGAGTAAAAGGTGATAATCTTCTTTTTATGAAGTGGGGAAGTCAAAACAGTACTAATAGAAGTCATAGGAAGCATTCGAAGATAATTTAGAACCATTTAAAACCAAATCGACGGCAAATTTGAAATGACTGAAATCTTTATATGTTTTCTTCTTCATCTTCTTCGCAGACCTCAGAGAAGACACTTCCGGTTTAATAATCAGCGATTTTATCGATCAAAAAATATTTTTTATGAATTTGTCCGATATCTGCTAATATGGTATGTATATTTGTGCTGATTGTAAAATTACAAAATAGGTTGGGTATAGAATATAGTCAAAGTCGTTTGATCTCGTCCAAGAAACAATATTTTGTCATTTCTGTCACCTAGAATTCCTTTCAGGCTCTCTAGCGAAATTGGCTATCAAAATGCTAAAGAGCCTTAAAATTTTAGGCTCTTTCAGCCGAAATGCTAAAGAACCTTAAAATTTAAGGCTCTCTAGCCAAATTGGTTACCAAAATGCTAAAGAGCCTTAAAATTTAAGGCACTCCAGCCACGGCCTTTTGAAAAAAAGGTATAAAAATCTATCGATAGGTTGGTCTCTGTTTATTTTCTGGAAAAGTGTTACTTTTGGCTATTTGTGTTGGTTTTGAAAAAGGGGTATGAAAATCTATCGATAGGCTGGACTCTATTTATTTTCTGGAAAAAGTGTTACTTTTGGCCATTTGTGTTGGTTTTGAAAAAAGGTATGAAAATCTATCGCTAGACAGGACTCTGTTTATTTTCTGGAAAAGTGTTACTTTTCGCCATTTTGTGTTGGTTTTGAAAAAAGGTATGAAAATCTATCGTATGCTGGACTCTGTTTATTTTCTGAAAAGTGTTACTTTTCGCCATTTGTGTTGGTTTTGAAAAAAGGTATGAAAATCTATCGTATGCTGGACTCTGTTTATTTTCTGAAAAGTGTTACTTTTCGCCATTTGTGTTGGTCTTGAAAAAAGGTATAAAAATCTATCCTATGCTGGACTCTGTTTATTTTCTGAAAAGTGCTACTTTTCGCCATTTGTGTTGGTTTTGAAAAAAGGTATGAAAATCTATCGTATGCTGGACTCTGTTTATTTTCTGGAAAGTGCTACTTTTTGCCATTTGTGTTGGTTTTAAAAAAAGGTATGAAAATCTATCGATAGGCTGGACTCTTGTCTGGAAAAGTGTTACTTTTGGTCATTTGTGTTGGTTTTCAAAAAAGGTATGAAAATCTATTATATGCTGGACTCTGTTTATTTTCTGGAAAAGTGTTACTTTTCACCATTTGTGTTGGTTTTGAAAAAAGGTATGAAAATATATCGTATGCTGGACTCTGTTTATTTTCTGGAAAAGTGTTACTTTTCACCATTTGTGTTAGTTTTGAAAAAACGGGATGAAATCTATCGATGGGCTGAACTTTGATTATTTTCTGGAAAAGTGTTACTTTTGGACATTTGTGTTGGTTTTCAAAAAAGGTATGAAAATCTATCAATGGGCTGAACTCTGATTATTTTCTGGAAAAGTGTTACTTTTGGCCATTTGTGTTGGTTTTGAAAAAAGGTATGAAAATCTATCATATGATGGACTCTGTTTATTTTCTGGAAAAGTGTTACTTTTGGCCATTTGTGTTGGTTTTCAAAAAAGGTATGAAAATCTATCGATGGGCTGAACTTTGTTTATTTTCTGAAAAATGTTAGTTTTCGCCATTTCTGTTAGTTTTGAAAAAACAGGTATGAAAATCTATCGAGAGGCTGAACTTTGTTTATTTTCTGGAAAGTGCTACTTTGCGCCATTTGTGTTGGTTTTGAAAAAGAGTCCATTTTATGCTATACGTTATCTCTTTTGACGAGTCCTGTTCTTATTTTTTTAATCTGATCCCTGATGGCTGGTCATTTTAGATTTTATTCTAAGTCCAAAAGTAGCACAAAATAAAAACAGAAAAATCTCTACCCTATATCGTGACATATATCATCTGATGCCATACTGTTATTGATTAATTGATTCCATATCATATTCCCTAGCCTATACAGTTCCAATTGTGAAACTTATGTACTTCCCGTGAGTGAAATCGGGGACACACAACTTATTGATCATTCCGCCGAGTGGGAAGACGAATAGATGGCATTTTAAGAACAAGAATATAGTCCAATTATTGTAGTTACATAATGTATATTAGCATCACCAGTGGTTGGATTTTGGTAAGTACATGAATGAAAAAGTGTATGTATGGACCAACTCTAACACATGATTTGATGTGATGGAGGTGCATTTTCTTAAAGAAATTTGATCCTTTTGACCTGCCTCCATCTGTCAAAATCAGAGTGACAATTTTCTATAGATGGCGTATTCTACAGGTGAGACCTTTTGATTGTCATGGGGAGTTTTGGTTCAAACTTTTTTGACTGAAAGAGAATATACTGGGGTATGATGATACCATAACTCGTCCAAAAATCTTCATTTCTCTGAAGGACAAATCATTTAGATGGGAATACGCATGTTATAGCATTTGTGCAATAGTCTAATGATAGAAAAATATATTCATACTGCACACGAATGACAATTGTATATCTTGGATTGCTTGTAAATTGGCCTACAGTCTGTTACACTGCTTCAAAGGCAAGCAGTTGAACCTGAAAATTAAGAAATCTATAGACCATTGTGCCATAATATATAGAAAAATATATTCATATTGCACACGAATGACATTTGTATATTTCAGATTATTCAGTGTTTAGTGCAATAAGCCTGTGCCCTCTTGTAATTTGAGGTCTGTCCGCCATGTTATTTTTTTGAGAATTAACATGGTAGAGAAGCATCAAAATATAAGAGGTTACAGAGTTTATGAGCCAATTTACAAGCAATCCAACATATACAAATGTCATTCGTGTGCAATATGAATATATTTTTCTATATATTATTGCACAATATTATTTAGATTTCTTATATTTCAGGTTTAACTGCTTGCCTTTGAAGCAGTGTAACAGACTGTATAAAGTCTTCAACCTCTTATATTTTAATGCTTCTCTGACAAGTTAATTTTGAAAAAATAACATGGCTGATAGACCTCAAATTACAAGAGGGGCGCAGGCTTATTGCACTAAATACATGTACAATAAATAATCTGAAATATACAAATGTCATTCGTGTGCAATAAGAATATATCTTTCTATATATTATGGCACAATAGTCTAGATTTCTTATTTTTCAGCTTCAACTGCTTGCCTTTGAAGCAGTGAAACAGACTGTAGATCTAATCTATTATCACCCACTTTTAATTTTCACCAAGCTCACTTCAACAGTCACAACTCGCAAAACAGCAGTGGTTCAAAACAATAAAGTTACATAATATCTTAGGTCCTTACCTCCTTAAAATCACTAGCTGCTAAATGAGCATGTGCATCAATATATCTAGACATTTTTTGGTAACTTAGAAAACAGTTTACATTTTAGTTTTTTTCATTTTCATGTTGCAAAATAATGCCTGCGTAGATTGTATCACGTTGTTGTATTTTTTGCCTATCATATATGTCATTTGACATGTACTTTATAACTTTCATGTAAATCATATTTATTTTATTATTTTAGAAATAGTTGATGGAATTGATAATACAAACTCAATGAAGTTCTTTTGAATCCAGTTTATGATTTCGTGAATCCTAACTCAGTTTCACTCACGCACATGCAACTTCCGGTGTAATTTTTGTTTTCAGAAATTTCAAAATAATTTCATCAGTATTCTATGGATATATGGCTACGAGAGTACTATGTAGCGTATCAACACGTTTGACACAAGTTGAGACTTTCACTAGATGTACAAATTTTAGACATTGGGCCAATGGTGCACGTCTGATTCCATGTGTTGATAAATCTAATATTTATCAAGTCAAACTTTCAAAGGATAGATCTATAACACATTGGAAGAATATTTTGAGATCATTGAAAGTAAGGTTCCCTTGGATAATACATATATTTCCTGTGAATAAGAATAGAATGGAATTGACAGGTACTTCAAATTCATTGGGTGAAAAAGTTCGAGGTATGACCAAGTTAGATCGCAGCATGTTTACACAGACAATTCAAGTTCCAGGAATTATTGTCAACATAAAAAGTTTGAAACACTTGAACAAATGCTTCAAAAAGTCTATGTTGAAGATGCCAAATATAAAGGCTATTGCTGATCTTGAAACGGACAATCTATGTTTTAAAACACACAAGCTGCTCCTTCTTGATCGCAACCAGTACAAATCATTTGATGACTTCTCTGAGGATGAAAAAGGTGTAATGACTGCCCATGATGTTGATCCTAACAGTTTTAAAATGTACAGTTTAGAAACAACATATGACAACCTGACTTGGGATGATGTGTTGAAAGCTGTATTACCGACAGATACTGATGGAGTTGGGGGCTTTAGCACAATTGGCCACATCGTGCATCTGAATCTTAAAGATAACCTAAATGACTACAAATTCCTGATAGGTAAATATATTGGTATTTGGATATATATTACTTGGTCAGTTCTCACTCTCCAATGAATGAATTAAATGAAAGTATTTAGGTAGTTGCATCTTTTTGTTTTCAGGAGAAGTGCTAGTTGATAAGATTAAAACAGTGAAGACAGTGATAAACAAGACAAATACAATTGATACAACATTTCGGAACTTTAGCCTAGAACTTTTAGGGGGAGAGGACAATATGATAACCATCAACAAAGAAAATGGATGCAGTTTTGAGATGGACTTCTCTAAAGTCTATTGGAATCCCAAACTCGGTATGATTTTGTGCTGTCCTTTGTGATGGTGACATATTGTTATAATTTCCAACTTTTTTGTGGATGATTTTTGGCAGTTGGTGTCGGGCATTAAATGGTTGGTGTATGGCTGTTGGCATCTGTAACAAATTACAGTTGGTGACCTTTTGCATTTTAAAACCTTGTGTAATAATGTTATAACAGTACCATTGTATAAGCTTATGTATTTTAAATATAGTAATGGATCCCTCGACACATTTTAAAATAAAACTGCTTGTATTTATGTTCAGTAAATCCATGTTCAACAAATACAATGTATAAACCATCATCCATGTTTCTCAAATGTTGTCCTTTGTTTTTTGTTACAGGTAATGAACATGCAAGAATTATATCACAGTTGAGTCCCAGTGATATCGTGTATGACATGATGGCAGGTATTGGTCCATTTGCTATTCCAGCTAGCAGAAAACAATGCATCGTTTTCGCCAATGATTTGAACCCTGAATCATTCAAATGGTTAGAACATAATGTAAAACTAAACACCTCTAAGAAGTACAAAATTGACTTGAATGCTTATAATATGGATGGACGGGACTTTATTCGCAATATCGTGAAAATGGATATGTTAAAAAAATGGAAGAAACATGGTGAGGAAATCGCACCTCCTAACATACACATAATTATGAATCTACCAGCAATAGCCACTCAGTTTCTCGATGTATTTAAAGGATTGTATACAACAAGTGATCTTCAGGCTGAAGGGGCAACAATAAAGCCCATTATGCCAACAATTCATTGCTATTGCTTCTGCAAGAGTGAGGACCAGGAAAATGAGGCATTAGAAATGGCAGAATTAGGTCTCAGGATGCCCCTTCCTGAGGGTGCTACAGTACATAATGTAAGAAATGTCGCCCCTAAAAAGGATATGATGTGTGTTGAGTTTAGACTAACTGATAATGTGCTCATATGTCAAGAGGATGAAACAAATAGTCCACAAAGGAAAAAAATGAGAACAGACACAGGGGGTGACATTTAAGAAGAATGAAATTCCAACATATATTTAATTTATATGTTATATTCAATGATTGTGCCTTTTGGATAATTCAGATCAATCTGTTTTCTAGTTTGTGTGGCTACAGGTAGTCAATTAGCCTTGCCCAAGTATTTTTTTACTTTTCTGATCTTGAATTATTACCGCCTTGTACAATCTAATGAATCCCCACTGATATTTTGATAAGTTATTCAGCGGTTTCGAGATTTCTATAATTCCTACACTGTCAGGGGTGTCACGAAACCGTATTGATTGGCAAGATTGGGTGGACACGACCTGTGACTTCAGGCTGATTGACCAATCAAAACATTGTCAGGTTTACCCGCATAAACAGAGCAAACTACTTCTTTTTCAAAGACGTTATTTGATGCAATCTTAGTGTTTTTTTAACTTTAGATAATTCTATTCTGACAAAACAAAATCGTTAAAAATACGGAAATTATCAGAAAATGTGCAAATAAATCGATGCATTTTAACAAATTTTATTTTTTGCAATTCATTTGCAGTCTTCACCTCGATTGTGCCACGTCAAAAAAATTACACAATATGAAAAACTAAAGACACGGCTTCCCCAAGAGGGGGAGAAACCCCAGTGTTCAAAGATGACAAACGCTTATAATGTAAATCTGTATTGAGATGACATCGTCGCCGATTGGTTTAGCGAGTCGATCATTGATTGGTTTAAAACTAGGTCAATTTGAAAACTTTGAAAACCAAGATGGAGGGAAGTATAAATATATGTACTTCCGGGAAAGGAGGTGAGCGAAGGAGGAAATCGTATGTCATCAATTGAATCATGGGGTTTTCCCTCCTCTTTGCTTCCCCGGTACAATTTAGCATCATCTATATCCGGTTTGAAAGTGTTACTAGTAGACTGATATTTTGATTTTAAAGGACCAGAAAAACATAACGATATCGATTGATATGCTTGGACAAATTGTATTGATTGAAGATTTCGAAATATAGAAATTATCTGGCTATCTGAAGTATTGCGTATTTACACAATATTAACAATCATAAATATATACACTTTTATAGGCCTAGTTTTTTAAAAATATTGAAACAATTGGTACGCATGGGCATTCTGTGTGTAACAGGCGCTACGCCCATGAAAAATAAATCATACAGAATATTTTCAAAATGTCTCCACCACATTTTAATACATCTGATTCCATATCTGCTCTCTTCAGATAAGTTGCTGAGGTATAAAATAATAAAATTCAAACAATATGAAAATGAATATTTGTTATGTTTGATGAAGTTATGAGCACTCGAAAATTGGTGGTCAGTTGATTTTTGGTTCTTATGACGAAACTTAAAAATGGAACTCTATGATGTCATGAAGGATGTAGAAAACTGCCTAACTGAAGAGGCATTTTTAGGAATATTATGCTGGTAAAATCCCCGAGGGTACACTACATACAACATTTGGTGGGGGTCATAGGCTGAACCGTCAGATATCAATATGTTCCCATACCAATCTGTCAAATCTCGATGTGTTACCATACCAGCCAAATAACGCCCAAAAACCAAACCCAGTGTCCAAATATAAGACCGCATAAGACCAATACCACACCAAATGTCCAGATAAAAGATCAATACCATACAAAAGAAGAAGTGTCTGAGAGGCAAATGTTTGGCAAAAATGATCCAAAACAATCACAAATTAAGAATATATGTAGGCCTAACTACTAGACCAATGCCAAACCGCAAGTGTTAGGTAACATATTTTGAATGACCATCCTCATATCAGATTGTGGAAATCCAACCATTGCCATACCTCAAAAGTCATAATTTGGATGGCATTCTCATACCAGATCCTAAAATTTCGGTCCATTGAAAAAACCAAATGTCAAAAAAGGTATCCCATGTGAGTACCCTGCGTGCAGAGTCTAGTTAAACTACACTCTGCCTAGTAGAGACCATATTACAGTTTAGTGGCCCCGCCCCCACGACGGGTACCGGTGACAGTTTGGGTAATAAATCACTTTTGACTTACGCGCTGACCTTTCGTCCACCAATCGGCGAGCTTGAAGAAACATACGCCAAATGCGTTCTAATTAAATATGCGCATGTCATTGGTCAATTTCGGGCTCAACGATGACGTCAGAAGGAATAACCATATATAGAACGTCGGTCGAATTTGGCCGACGAACACTGATTGGCGCGTTGAGTTCACAGGTTTATTTTAGTTTGAAAGAGTGAAGACGAAGCTCTCTTTTAAGAAGTGAAGTCCAACGAATGCAAAGGGTACCATGTGAGCTGAGGATCTCTGTCAAGGTTTATATCATGGGCTTTCAACTAGATTGAAAGCCCATGTTTATATTTATAAAATCACAGGAACTACAGTATTTAGTGATGTTATAACAGTGATTTCTTCTCTCCAGAAGAGAAGGTAAAAATATGGGAGATTATTTCATCAGATCAGGACCAGAAGATTAGTTTACCCTGGGCTAACTGAATAATAAATTACCCTTCCTCAAAAATTGGTATCCACAAGTCTATCAAAATATTTTAGCATGATATAAAGAGGTCGCTAGTATAGCTTTTCCAATTGAAACTATAGATGGCAGCATAAAATTTTTTGGGGTGGTTAAAGAAAACTCTTTTGATTGGTCTAGAAAATACAGAGTCTGGTAGATTGACCAATCAGAAATCTGTTGACAAATCGAGTCATTCTGCTGAGTCCAACTTTGAAAAGTAAGTTCTTCACCGTATGTTTTTTCAATTCATTAATATTCGAACACTGATTTCATCTACGTAATATTGTTCATGTCTTATCATCAAAGTATATTCAAAGATGATTTTAAACTAAATAGTTTCATAATCAACCTCCGAATAATGTAGAAAAATGTGTTTTATTGAGAGTAAAAATTTGGAAATTTTTATTTTCTCAACTTTTTCAGTTTTTGAGTTTGAATATTTTCTTTTTCAGGTACATACAGTCACAATGGATTAATCTTTAAAATGTAGCTAGTTCTTGATCATATCTTAAACTTGATTGACGGAGACAACTACATATAGTTTGGATTTGCATACTGTCTTGCCTTATATGTGGCATTACGATTCCATTCTCAAGAGCAAGGGAGTATTCATGAAATGATCCTTACCTTATTAGGCAAAATATTGAGCTACTGAAGAATTTAAAATCAACCTAAGGACATTGCAATGAATGTAGTACCTAACCCAAGGAAGGTGTTGCGTTCACCTAGCTTGAAGCGGAAGAGTAAACCCATACCTTTGTCAGACAGGGTAAGTACAACAAGATCATTAGACTAGCGGTACTCTGTTGACTTTGTCAAACTTCAACATGTTGAGTTACTTCACCATGGGGCTTCTTCGACCATGGGGTTATTTTGACCATGCCCTATAATTTTAATTTTGGTGTTTATTATTAAAATTTTCAAAGGACAAACATGGCAGACTGCGTAGATTGAAATTAATAAGCCAATGTAGAAATAGCCCCATGACGAAAGTAACCGCATCATCGAAGTTCAACGTAGCGCCCTTATTTCCTGCTTAGTTTTACAGGGAATTTATGAAATAAATGCAGAGCACTGCACTATAAATCAAGATTGAAATTAATATGATCCAGGGGTAATGGGTAATCCCTAATAATCCTTGGATCATATCGAGTCCATGATCCCATTTATCTCAATGCTCATACAATTTGCTTTGTGATCATTCTGCTGCATTTTCTGGCATCATGAATTCATGTTCAATCCGAGGTGGTAAAATAAGTTTTAAAACAATCTGATGATTGAGATCATTAAACCAACATCGATAGTGTAACATATAATCACATTGCAATGGGATTATAGCTATATCTGATTAATCAAATATGCATAAGTTGGTTCAAGGAACAAACAATTAATGGCATTTATATGACAAAAGCTGCATTTATTTGTGAACATTTAGATATGAAATATGACTATCCTATATTCATGATATTATAACCTGCCGTTGGTCATTTGGCAGTGGCATTGGGACTATATCAAATAAAAATCGTTTTATATAACTTGAATGGTAAATTAGGTTGACAGTTTGACTGTTAACTTTTATATAAATTAAAATGCTTTAGCTATGATTGAAGGAGTGCATGTTTTGAATAAACATCCTTTTTTTATTAAAATCGATCAAATGTTTTTTGTATAATGTTTCCTCTCTCCTTTCATCGCTATGACCCTCTAACAAATAAAATCCATTAAAATATGACCTATGTCTGCTAATGCGATGAAGATATATATTATCCTTTATTCATCATAAAGATTAAAAAACAAGTGAATTCTATATTTAAGTGCAAGTACTGACACTAGGTAAACCTAATGTGATCGGTTGAGAGTTACCCTGATTCACAAAGACTAGAACCTTTATAATAACTGCATTTTATTAAAAAAGTGTAATCGAGCTATTGAAAAGGGTAGTGAACATTTTAATGAACATATGTAATTTGTACATGTTTAGATTTGAGAATCTTTTTAAATATGATTTTAAAATAGTCCTAAGGATCAATCAGTGTGGTACACAGTTACATGTAAATGAAAATATATACTGGAGGCTAGACCAGACATGATAATGTGTTATAGATTTACACTGCAACAATAATGACCTTGTTCGATGTTATACTGTTGATATGATAAGCTGAACTTGAAGTAACGGTGCACAGTTGATTACATTGAATGTCAATAGGTATACATGCATTTTGCACATAATGGGTCATGTATGATAAAATCTATAATATACATTGATCCTATTGATTTCCTTAAGGGGAGGCATCAAAAGTTCAATGTCTGATAGGAAACTAAATAAATCTAGTTTTGAGTTGGACCCCCCCCCCTCCCCCTCAAAACTAAATACAATGAAAGTTGATCGCGGACTTTTCACATGTTTTAGCGACTCAATTTGGACTTTCATGGGGCCAGTACTATAACTTATTTATGATTCTTAAAACATGTGCCAACAATAATAGGCATAATATTCCATGTTTCATGCATCTTGATGAAGAAGGCATCTGGTAAAGTCTGTATTTTTAAACCATTCCAAGGCATTTCGAGTCGAAATTGCGAAAAATTTAAATGTTGAAATTTGTCGGAAAGCATACTGAAATAGCTTTGACCCCCTCCCCCCAAACTAGATTTATTTAGTTTTCTATCAGACATTGATCTTTTGATGCCTCCCCTAACACATTAAGCCCGTCCTAACACTAGTCTTGATTTTAGACAGGTTTTACTGTACACAATATGCGAATACCTCTATATTATTATATTAAGTTGACACGTCATATTAATAATTGTTGAATTAATAACTCTTTTGATATCAGAATATAGCCAATTCAGTGCGTGAAATAAGGATTTTTTTAACCTAGACATTTTGGCAGGCCAGCCAGATTTTAACCAGCCATATCATTTTTTCTCAGGCCAATTTTTTGCAGGCTGTTTCTTACTTCTCTGGCCAAAAATTTCATTTTCCATATTTCTCCACAACCACTCTAAAATGAGATTTAGTTTAGTACAATATTAACAAAGTAAAACTAATTCCATTGCATGTCATGTATTATCCACTATACTGCACTTGATGACTTAACCAATAGCCTGGGTGTGTTGATTTCCCCCTAGATTCACCTTACCAAAACATGATGAACATGTACATATTGATCAAACTAAATTGTACTGATTTTGGTCGGTTTAGAATTGCTCTCAGAAGCTTCAAGGTATTCAAAAACACATACTATGTACACAGACTCCACTAACAGACTAAAATTCAAGGTATATATTAGAGGTGTCACGGTCCAAAAAAATTTCGGTACGGTACGGAACGGTACAAATGGTCTCGGGACACGATACTTTCGGGACAGGACGGGACAGAACATTAAAAATGATACAATGTCTGATGATGATAGTTTCACTTTCAGTTTCACTTTTCAAAATCATATTCAGAAATACGTCAATTAAAATCGAATATAAAGCATCTGCCGCAAATGTGATCGGCATTTCACATAATCTGCATGCATGATGGTGAACTATCACCAATTCGTTTACCTTGTGATATCGGAGTCCCAAAATACTTCCAAACTGCCGACTTTTTGGACTTAGATGCCGGCTCGATTTTTCAATTTCTTTTCTACATCCGGCATACTGATAATGCACTCGATTTGCGAACGACGATGAAGAAATGAGTCATCCATAGCCAATCAAAATCACCGTAATTTCAACAAACAACAACAGCCAGTCAAAAGTCACGTTATATCTTGGGCTTCAGTACGAAAACAAAAATATTTGAAATTTTTTTAAATCTTCAACAAAAGTCATGGAATAAGCCGAAATCGCTGGGAATTCGGAGGATTTCCGGACTGAAATGTGAGTTCTATTCATGGGCAATCTAACGAATGCCACAAATATCTGGCAGGCCAAAATGTCTGGGTGTTTTTATCAAAACAAGCCATCTATAATTTTGTCAGGCCAATGGCCGATGTCGGACGTCTATTTCGCGCACTGCAATTATTATTGAACATGCCTCTGCTTAATTTTTACCATTCACTTATTTTTTATGATCATGATTTTTATAGGTGTTGAATATCGTTAACTGTCATATTAACAGACAGGTTGGATTTATATATTAATGTTAATGACTATGAGTACAATCATATACATCCCACATAGATCGCTCGGTATATGTATATGTCCGTACCTATGAAATTGAAATATTGTAAATTGTTCTTTATTACAAAGGCTTACATACATGTATAATAAGCAGACACATGAATTCTTCAACTTTAGAATTCAAGATCCTCTCTGGAAATTTATCTTTGTGTTTCTTCATGAAATGATTCAATTCTCTCATGAACTTGATCAATAATTTAATCAGTATGTCTGTACTTTATGATCAGACCAGCTGATCTGACATGTATTATGATAATAATTGGTATCTATACATCTATGGATCGTTCGGTATTGAAGGCATCAATTATTACATCCAATCAAGCTGAAATCAACAGGTCATGCCATTGTTCAATCAGAAATCAATTAATGACTTATATGATGGTCAGAACTGCTTATATAGTGGCCACCTTGTAGATTTGTTATAAATCAACAAAAATTCATAAATTTTTACAAGTTAAATACTTTCATTGAAAAAAATTTTCATTTTGTTTGAATATGGCTAATTTTTGTTAAATACATGTATTTGCATTGACCTAATGTAGAGACTGTATACCACATGCCATTTTGCTCTTCATATTTACATGTGTATTTCCTGAAGATCAAGTAAATCTAAGAAAAGTATACCTCAGCAGCATATGATGGTCTTCTGGTATAACTATTTCTGACCAGTAGGCTAAATACATGAACACAGAAATCTGAAAGCTGGTTATAAGTTGGCTGAGCTGGCAGCACAATATTGTTATTGGGAATATATTACATCATTGTTTTCCCCCTGCTCTAACCCAGGGCCTAATTACCCTGCAATTTATCATTTTCAATTAACCAATTTAACAGAGCCTTAATTATCTATTGGTGTTTTCATAATCATTATGCAATGAAGACTGTGATGATGTGTAGTGAACTATTTTTGGCTACACAGACAACTTCATCTCTATGGGGTGTTCTAAGAGACCATATCAATGTTTTGATGTTGGCGAAAACATTACAGTGAAACCTGTATATCTGAACACCTCTCAATGTGAACACTTTTTCTCAGTCCCAAATTTGTTATCTCCCATTGACTTACATCTTAATAAAACCTTGAAATGTAAACACCTGCTAAACACTTTTGTCTCCCGAGTTTGGAATAAACAGGTTTTACTGTACATAAGAATTACCCAAATGCGAGTAGGTAGTTACCAGTTTCACCACCAGGTGGCTGATTCGGGTCAATTAACATGGCAGGTATATAAAAAAGTTCCATCAAACTTGAATATTATCAATTTAAGTGGCTCAATTTTCATATAACCCTTATGTGCCTGATACTTATACTAATGAAAATATGTCCAGTAAAGCAAAATATTATCTGTCCACTAAAAGAAAAGATATTTCATTTTTTGTGATTTTATAGCATGGGGACTATGGGGAATCTCCCCGAGCTAGAAGTCACATTTTCAAAAAAAATCAATTTTTCAAAGTTAATAAACACTTTTTGAAACCACATTTCTAGATGCAATTTTACATGTAGATTTCAAATATGATATTACTTTGACTGAATTTTGAATTTTTAATGACGTAAATCAAGATTATTTCTACTCGCATCTGGGTTATTCAGATTGACCCTCTCCCTGTAGATAATCCGAGTAAATTCAATATTGAAATACATTATAAATTCCAAAGCCTTTACTTTCTCTGGAAGAGATCAAGTGCAAGAGACTCTCGGGTGTTATAAAAAGAGACTCAGATGAATCAGAATGCCAAAACATGATTGATTGCAAATATTTGCCCTTTTCCCCAAAAACCTAGTGTTCATTCAACTTTTCACAAATATAAAAGGATATCTAACATTTTATATTCTGTAAGAATTTTCCACAATTTTTGTTGTTTCCTGGCATGACAGAGTGAAGTAGATGTCAACCCAAGTCTTGAAACTGGAATCCATTTCTTCACACACTGCTAGGGCAGGGTCCAAAAACCCTATTGTCCACATTTATTTTGCCCCATATTTAATGATAATTTTTTGTATTTCAGGTTACCTTAGAGCGAGTACTTGGGTTGACTGTAAGCAGCAGTGCATCTTTAACATGTGACCCAAACACAGGAACCATTGCATACCCAGCAGGGTAAGTACATCATAAACTGTACACTGGGAAAGTATACCTTAAACTGTACACTGGGATTTCATGCACTTAGACTCTGGTCTTTGCAGTCTTGCATGAAGATTCCATTCATTCACACATGCTAGATCTGGTCTTTTCAGTCTCATGCCAGGTTGCTGGTCTCCCCATATTTTCCGTACCTATGTAGCTTGTGTGAATTAGATGTACGGTATGTTAGTTAGAGACTGAGTGTTCACAACACAAGATTTAAAGCAGGAATTAGTTAGCGATTTCAGTCAGATGCATGGTCTCAGTTTTATAAGCTTGTTTTGTTCAAGAATCAGTATTTGAAGAAAAAATTATGATTGAAATCAAGTCAACTGTATTTGAAATACAATTTATAAACTAAATCTGTAAGCTCTCTAGTTTAGGGTGTACAGTGTAATTATTTCTCTTAAACATACAAGGTCGGCTATATGCAGTCAGATAAACTAAGATGGAAAGAATCAAGGAGTATCAAACCCATATGTTATTTATGTCAAAATCATACAGCTCATCTCACCTGTCATCCAGGTTCTACGCTTAAAGTAGGTTGATTGAAAAATACAACTTCACGAGTGTATTATCTTAGGATTCCCAGGATCTTGGAGTTCTGTGATCGTGAAAACAGAATCTGAATGTACACTGTCACACAAAGAGCAGGCACATTTCTTCATATTTCTAGCCTGTATTTCTAATGTGGGGCCTTTTAGATTCTGAAATTCATCATGTTTCTGGGCTAGGCTCCCTGCAATGGGTCTGTCATCGGGCAGTAATAGTTCAAAGAGTATGATCCAAGCATCTCTCTTTGGGTCAAAATGATTGAAAATTAATGACACGCACCTTTTCATCATAGTTGTATCTATGGTCTCTACCATCACACTCAGGCACTTGCAAATCAGAAAGCTTTTCGGGGTTCTTAGATATGTTTGCCAATTTTTATATGCCAAAACTCATGGAAGGTGGACAGAGTCAGTTTTGATTCAAGCCCTTGACCCTCATCACATCAAATGTGAAGGTGAAATAGATAGGCGAAGAGGGGGGGGGGTGTCTTGAAACTTGACCCCAGACCGAGAGTCACTCTGATTAAGAAACACCCAAATAGACCTGAATGTGTTCTGTATATAAGACATTTGTAAGAAGATGAGTTATAAAAGGATTCCAGATGTTGTAGATGTCATTACTGTCAGACTGTATAGCGAGTATCCAGTCATCCAGGTGTAATCTCTAGAATCTACACATCTACCTGTGTAGAAATTCTAACTCCAGTCACGCTTATTGGTTATCAAGAGCCCTTAAGTTAAAAATATATTATGGCCCACGATTCTTGCATCTCAAGATATCCTTTGTAAAATAAATCCCAACTTGATAACTTCATGGGATCTCCATTCCTCCATTCGGCTTCATTCGTTCAGCTTGAGGTGATACAATCATAGTCTTTTTATCAAGACCCACTACTACACCCTTATTCTTTACAATTTTATTCTGGTTGAGAAATAGGAAGGGCATGACCAGAGACTTGGCGCAAGACTATGTCTCGGATGTGACTGTTCACAATTGATGTCCGATTAAACGGACGTCAACACAGGAATTTTGTCATCTTAGTTAGTTGTACATTCATTGAGTTTCGCTCTTTTCACTGGGAATTTTGGATAATTGGAAGAATCATAATAGCAGGTGAGAATTTGTTCTTAGGATTTAAGGTCTGTATGCCCCATCTCCATATTTCCCACAGCAGATATGCTATTTATAAGGATAGAACTGTCTTGTATCATTTTCCATTTCTGTATGTATATTTATAACTATCATGACTATAAAGTGATGTTCTGTGTGTCTGGTATATGGCTGATTCATAAAGGTAATGGATCTGTTACATCCAAGAAAAAGTATTTGTAAACACAGCAATGAAGCTAATCTTGTGTCTGGGGAAATATTATATACAGATAACAGTGATCTCCCAAGCATTAAAGCAAGTAGGTGCAGCACCCACCTGAGATTTTAAAAACAGACTTGCATCCACCTGAAAATTCATGTGCACCCACCTGAAAATGAGAAAAGTCATGAAAAATGGGCTTATTATCCCATTGAACGAAGTTCGGAGGGATATAGGGAACGCCTCCGTCCGTCCGTCCGTACGTACGTACGTCCGTCCGTCCGTCCGGGCAATAACTCAAATACCGTTGGCCCGATTTTGTTATCCCATCGAACGAAGTTCGGAGGGATATAGGGAACGCCTCCGTCCGTCCGTACGTACGTCCGTCCGTCCGTCCGTACGTACGTACGTCCGTCCGTCCGTACGTACGTCCGTCCGTCCGTCCGGGCAATAACTCAAATACCGTTGACCTGATTTTGTTGATATTTTGTACACAAATACCCTATGGGGGTAGAAGTTCTGCTCGAAAGCCGATTTTCAAAATGGCCGCTCATTTCAAAATGGTGGCCATTTTAGTGCCGAATTTACAGTAATTTAGGTGCAATATGTAAAACTGTAATAGCAATATGTTTTAGATGTAAAAAGATTATATAGGACATTAATAAAGCTAAAAATGTAGATATTAAAGAAGCACATGGCAGCCATCTTGAAAAATGGCGGCCTTTTCTCGTTATTTTACGATTTTTGCTGTAACTCGAAAAGTAGTGGAGCGATTTTGTTCATATTTGGTATGTGAATACTATAAACATTGCACACTGTCTAAAGACACTTTTGGTAGAAGGCGGCCATTTTGAAAAATGGCCACCATTTTGAAAAATAGCTACCATTTTAACGTATTTTACTATAACTCGAAAAGTAGTGGAGCGATTTTGTTCATATTTGGTATGTGAATACTATAAGCATGACACACTGTCCTATGACACTTTTGGTAGAAGGCGGCCATTTTGAAAAACATTTTGAAAAATGGCCGCCATTTTAACGTATTTGACTATAACTCGAAAAGTAGTGAAGCGATTTTGTTCATATTTGGTATGTGAATACTGTAAGCATGGCACACTGTCTAATGACACTTTTGGTAAAAGGCGGTCATTTTTCAAAATGGCCACCATTTTAACGTATTTTACAATAACTCGAAAAGTAGTGGAGCGATTTTGTTTATATTTGGTATGTAAATACTATAAGCACGGCACACTGTCTTATGGCACTTTTGGTAGAAGGTGGCCATTTTGAAAAATGGCCGCCATTTTAACGTTTTTTACTTTAACTTGAAAAGTAGTGGAGCGATTTTGTTCATATTTGGTATATGAATACTATAAGCATGGCACATGGTCTAATGACACTTTTGGTAGAAGGCGGCCATTTTGAAAAATGGCTGCCATTTTTGCTATATACTTTGTTTGTAAAAATGCCATCCATGGCTGTTCGATGGGATTCGCTACGCTTTGGCGTTGCCGTTGTTCTGGTTCATATTTTGTACACATATACCCTATGGGGGTAGAAGTTCTGCTCGAAAGCCGATTTTCAAAATGGCCGCTCATTTCAAAATGGCGGCCATTTTAGTGCCGGATTTACAGTAATTTAGGTGCAATATGTAAAACTGTAATAGCAATATGTTTTAGATGTAAAAAAATTATATAGGACATTAATAAAGCTAGAAATGTAGATATTAAAGAAGCACACGGCAGCCATCTTGAAAAATGGCGGTCTTTACTCATTATTTTACGATTTTTGCTGTAACTCGAAAAGTAGTGGAGCGATTTTGTTCATATTTGGTATGTGAATACTATAAACATTGCACACTGTCTAAAGACACTTTTAGTAGAAGGTGGCCATTTTGAAAAATGGAGGCCATTTTTCAAAATGGCCACCAATTTAACGTATTTTACTATAACTCGAAAAGTAGTGGAGCGATTTTGTTCATATTTAGTATGTGAATACTATAAGCATGACACACTGTCCTATGACACTTTTGGTAGAAGGCGGCCATTTTGAAAATTTTTTTGAAAAATGGCCGCCATTTTAACATATTTTACTATAACTCGAAAAGTAGTGAAGCGATTTTGTTCATATTTGGTATGTGAATACTGTAAGCATGGCACACTGTCTAATGACACTTTTGGTAGAAGGCGGTCATTTTTCAAAATGCCGCCATTTTAACGTATTTTACTATTACTCGAAAAGTAGTGGAGCGATTTTGTTTATATTTGGTATGTGAATACTATAAGCACGACTCACTGTCTAATGGCACTTTTGGTAGAAGGTGGCCATTTTGAAAAATTGCCGCCATTTTGACGTATTTTACTATAACTTGAAAAGTAATGGAGCGATTTTTGTTCATATTTGGTATGTGAATACCATAAGCATGGCACATGGTCTAATGGCACTTGGTCTAATGGCACTTTTGGTAGAAGGCGGTCATTTTGATGCTATATCCTTTGTTTGCAAAAATGCCCTCCATGGCTGTTCGATGGGATTCGCTACGCTTTGGCGTTGCCGTTGTTCTGGTTTTGACCAATTTCAGTGTGAAATGAGAATTTTTGCCCCCACTTTGGGAAAAATCCGGGGGAGATCACTGGATAAACTTACAGGGTATACTTGAAATGTCCACTAGTCTAAGTGTGAACATCTATCTGGAAATGCAAATGTGAATACTTTTTTTGATCCAATTTGCTATTTTCACTGAAACACCATTTCATTTAATGTTAGCATTTTACGCATTTAGGCTTTCTTCATTTTGCTGATATAGGGATATAATTTGAACTGTTATCAGTAACTGCTGGATAATGTATGCTTCTGATGTCATATGACATAATGGTCAATACCATGTGAAAATGATGTCATCATATTTCAACAGTACAGTCAATATGGTACAACGAAAATGGGACTTCTGCGCATGTTAAAATTTTTCGTCAAATCTCAACTTTTGTTCAAGTTGATACGATTGTCTTTCGAACTAGAGACTTACCTCATTCGAAAGATCATAAAAGACTTTATCTATACTGAAAATCTTAGATCAAAACATAGTAGAATACGCCGTCAGTCTACATTTGAT